AAAGAGGTCACATCAATGAGTGACAAAGGAAGATACGTCTAATGTAAATAAAGCATCTGCAATCATCTACCTTCTGTAATACAGAGGTTTCGGCCTTGAAGATCTGATGGTGGAAAGTATTCTCTATCTTTGGATCTGAATAGGCACATATAAAATTCTTAGGAATTACAAATGTGTACAGGATCTAGCAAATGGTAGATGCTTCAGGAAGATTCAGGTAAAGGAACTGACATGGACTTCTGGCTTCTGATAAGAATGTGGAAAGCTGGAAAGAGTGCCATCCCTACGCTGGCAACAAGAAAAAGCTGAATAATCTACAAAATCATAACTTTTATTAAACCCAGAGAGAAGCCTCAAGACAATCAACTAGTCTGATGTCTGAAGAAAGATAAGCATCTGCAAGGAGAGATGGAACATGAGCACAGGCTAACTTGTGGCTGCAGGGGAAAGGCAAGGTCATCATAGAAGATAGTATAAAGACTTCAGCTAAATTTTAATGAACTGCTAAAGGCCAAGTATGGGCTATCATGAGAGTACAATACCCTTGGGAGCCATAGATATAAGAGGAATTTATACACATGCACAGGCTTTTCTCCATAGATTTACGGTACTGACCTAGTAGAGAGCAGAAACCTTTACAGTAGGAAAAGCATGAAACCATGTCTAATTCCTTTCTCCTTAAGGAATAGCAGCCCTAAACTTTAAGGGAAAGGCAGCAAACTATTCCCCTCAGGGTGTAGATGATGATCTACTGCAGCTGGGGAAATGCAAATAATAATAATAATAATAATAATAATAATAATAATAATAATAAGTCCTCTACTTCTGGTGAGGGGCAGGAATTAAGAAGAATCCTACAACTAGCAGAGGGAAAGAATAACTAAGAAAGTCCCACTTCCATGACCCAGAGGCACAGGATCTGCCTAAAGTTGAGGTTGAATCAAGAAAACAGAGAACTTCCTGTCCCACACCAGAAAGAAAACAGAGAACTCTTCCCTGTCCCAGGCTAAGGAGCTAACTTAATAAGAAGCAATACCAGCATATCATTAGGGAGACTCAGGAGCATGAAGAGAGAATCTCTTTGAGGCACAGATGCACAGGGAAGGTTCTAAATCTGAGGGTAGAGCAGGAATATGGAGAACCCCACCAACCATGCTAAGCACATTGTAACAGAAGAACTTGACGCTGGTGATTAACTGGGATAACCATAGCAACAATATAATCCAAACATAGCTCATCTTATTAGATTGACTCAACCTCCTATATTAATGACCTAGCAGGACAAGTATGCCCATTTCAAGGTGTAAATTCTATTTACTTCAATCTCTACTGTTCTATAAGCAATGTCTGGCATTCAAAAAAAAAAAAAAGATTCTGAGAAACCGATAAGCAAAAAGAAAAAAAATCTAACTCTCAAGAGACAAAGCAATCAATGTGACCAGCCTTAGAAATGACTTGGATATCCAAAGTATGAGACATAAAATTTAACATGACTATAATTCATATGTTTTAGTGAAACATATGGAAAACATGCATGAACTGGGATCCCTGGGTGGCGCAGCGGTTTGGCGCCTGCCTTTGGCCCAGGGCTCGATCCTGGAGACTCGGGATCGAATCCCACGTCAGGCTCCCGGTGCATGGAGCCTGCTTCTCCCTCTGCCTGTGTCTCTGCCTCTTTCTCTCTCTCTGTGTGTGACTATCATAAATAAAAAAAAAGGAAAACATGCATGAACAAATGGAGATTTCAGCAAAGATATTAACTATAAAAATAGTCAAGTGAAAATGCTAGAAATGAAAAACTGTAAAAGAGCTAAAAAATGCCCTTGACAGTCTCATCAGTTGGCTCCAAAAAGCTGAGAAAGGAATCAGTAAAACTGAAGATACGAAAAAATGGATCCAAAGTGAAACACAAAGAGAAAAGAGAATAAAAGCAAATAAACATATGAACATATATACGCAACACACACATAAGAGAAAAAATAGAGCATCCAAGAGCTGTGAGTTAATATCAAACGGCCTATCAAATATAAATTTGGTTTCCCACTACGAGAAGAGAACAAAGCAAAAAAAATTTGAAGAGATAAAGGTCAAAAACTGCCCCCCCCAAAATAAAATATGTCAAAATACATATCCAAGAAGTTCAGAGAACCTCAAGGATGATAAATAGCCCACCAAACACACACACACATACACACAAAAAGCCCTAGACATCTCATATTTGAACTGCAAAAAAACAAATTTAAAGAGAAAAGTCCTAAAACCTGTGAGAAGAAAAATACAAAGGGACAAAGATGGGAATGACAATAGACTTCAAAAACTATGTGAGCCAGAAGACAATAGAGTAGTATCTTCAAAGTGCTGAAAGAAAAATAAACCATCAATATAAAATTCTATATTTAGTGTAAATGTATTTTAAAAATGAAGATGAAATGAGGGATTTTCATACAAATCAAGACAGAGAATTCATTACCAGGAGCCCTGCACTACAAGAAACATCACAGAAAATTCTTCAGGCTTTAGAAGCATAGAAACTTGGATATGCCCAAAGTAATGAAAATTCCAGAAATGGCTCAAATGAATAAAAATGTTTTTTCTTGGGCAGACCCGGTGGCTCAGCGGCTTAGTGCCACCTTCAGTCCAGGGCCTGATCCTGGAGACCCAGGATCGAGTCCTGCATCGGGCTCCCTGCATGGAGCCTGCTTCTGTCTCTGTGTCTCTCATGAATAAATAAATAAAATCTTTAAAAAATATATTTTTAATTGCCCTAAAGGATAATTAAATAAAAAGTAATAGTATTGAGTACAGGGAACAAAGTAGGAGTATTATGGATTTATATCACACATAAAGGCAAAATATATAACAACTATAACCATTTTACACAAGCTTGGACACCACACAGTGAAATATTACTTGAAGAATATTACTTGAAGTTATACTGTGTATTTTTAAGATGTATGTTGGAAAAATGTTGATTCTGGTGATAGTTACATGACTAAATGACTACATGAGTAGTCCAAACTCATAGAATTTCATTCTTAAAATGGCAAATTTTACCGATTGTAAACTATACCTCAACAAACCCTAGTTAAAAAAAGAGAAGTACCATGCACAACTCACCTTTTATCTTCTTGCCTTTTCTTCTTTTTATGGCATCACAGTTCTGATGACTGATGATGAGAAACCATCCTTTTGTGTTATCTAAACTTACCTTTGCTTTTTAACTCATATGACTGATGTTTTTATTACTAAAACCTGGTGGTGGAGAGAGCTGTATTCCTTCAAATAAACACACACACACACACACAAACATACACACACGTATACAACCCTCAGGAATTAAAGTGGGTATGGAGTTACAGAGATTGTAAATATACATACCACAAAGAAGGAAGAACTATGTATATAGGTGTAGGTATCTATGCATGTGGTGGCAAAATTCACCTAGATCACACAATTGTTAACTAATCATTCAGTTTGAGATACAAGTGATGTAACATAAACAATATATTTGTGTTTATATTACATCACTGTCTATAGCTTATTGATTCTGTTAAAAGGTAAAATCAAAATGATTTTTAAAAAGTTTGTCATGAATACTGGCATTATCTCTGTTCCCTACACACTCACAGGTTCTTTCTGCTTTAAGGAACCTTCCCCAATGCTATGTTTACTACTCAGCTTTGACAATATAAGTACTTTTGTGCAGATTTTAAAGATCTCCCCCACCCCAACTTGGGTATATGATTTTTTTTAAATCCCCTTCTATGCAGATGTAACCTAAAGGTACAAGGCTTGGCAAGCAGAAGGCAACCTTCTCTGAACTAGAGAGAAGCCCCTTCCACTGGACCTATACCAGGACACCTCTATTCAACCCATATGTAGAGGACCTGTGGTCAGTCTACAGTAAGGATCAGATTAAGGACAGATATTTGGTTTTTGAGGGATAAGCTTGGGGTAAAGGGACACTGCATTTGTACAGAACCTCAAAAAGATTGAGAAAATGTCTAATCCCTGTATTAAAGAGTAGAGGAAGGTGATAAAGGTGACAGGGACATTAAAGTAACCCCATCTCCAAGTCAGCCCTTAACAGTTTCTCTGCTTTACCTAGAATGCATCAGCATCATCCTCAATAACCACACCAGGGATATATTACAACTGCAAATATAGTTATTTGTGTGCTTACATGTATAATATATGTGCCTCTCCCAATCATTCCCACACACATACACACATTTAATCACTTACATATTTCTAATTTTTTTTAATTTATGATAGTCACACACACACAGAGAGAGAGGCAGAGACACAGGCAGAGGGAGAAGCAGGCTCCACGCACCGGGAGCCCGACGTGGGACTCGATCCCGGGTCCCCAGAATCGCGCCCTGGGCCAAAGGCAGGCGCCAAACCGATGCGCCACCCAGGGATCCCCACTTACATATTTCTAGACCATAAGCCCTGGAAGAGCAGGGATCATCTGTTTTGGTCATCACTTTACCTCCAGAGATGATGACAGTGTTCGGAACATATTTTGTTTAATAAATAATCATTAAATAAATACAGAGTTATATTATTTGGCTAACTCTGTCACACACATGTGCACACACATGCACACAGTATGATGTAGAATATTGTGGAAATGTTGATTTTTGTAATGTTCATTTTAAATTTGAATGAAATTTGAATGGTATGAATGTATAACATAAAATGAATATTTTTATTTGGGTACATCTTATTTGAATTAATTCCATTTTCTGTTGATGATTTTATTCATTTTCTGCTAATAATTTTTAGATCTTATGTTTGGAGTGTTGGTTCACTACAGATTCCTAATCTATTTCTTTTGTAATGATTCTCACAGATATCATTGAGCTATCTTAATTTGATTCATCTCTCAAAGTAAAATGCTTTTGTCATTATTTGCTCTGCAGTGTAGGGTTTTCACTTGCAATCATTGTTGTTATTAGAAAAATGAAGAACCAATGCACTCTAACTCTACTTACCAAATAGATCCTGCCATAAGTACCAAGGCCAATGGTTTTATCCAATGAGAATATTCCAGTTGGATCCTACAAAAATGTAGAACAAAAACTGTCAATCTTCTTGGAAAAATAGGCAAGCATTTAACTACCTAAAATGGTATTTCCAAAGTGCCTTGCTTCCTTAGAATTTCCATGGGAGGAACCTAGTGTCATTTACCAAAAGATTAAACATCACAATTTTCCTGGGCAGAGTATAGTCATTTATGGAAAAGAAACAATGACACGAATATTAAGCAGTTGTATAACAAATTATCACAAACCTGTAAAATGAATACAATTATGTCTAGTTGACACATATTCATAATACAATTAGAACAATTCTTAAAATAGAAATACATTTATCAGGGATCCCTGAGTGGCTCAGCGGTTTAGCACCTGCCTTTGGCCCAAGGCGTGATCTTGGAGTTCTGGGATCGAATCCCACATCGGGCTCCCTGCATGAAGCCTGCTTCTCCCTCTGCCTGTGTCTTTGCCTCTCTCTCTCTGTGTCTCTCATAAATAAATAAATAATAAATAAATAAATAAATAAATAAATAAATAAATAAATAAATAAAATCTTAAAAAAGGAAATTTATCTACTTGCAATTGATATACTTTTAATATTAATTTTTGAGTAGTAACCAGACAGGCAGAAAGTTTAGCATACAGCAATGATGAGTAGATATTAGGTACAAAATCTGGACAGTTTATTTACATAATAGTAATTCTTGAGAAAGGATATCACCTCTAAATATGAATAACAGAAGATGTGGTACAATAGCATATTATCCAGCCATGACGAAAATGAGGTCTTGCCATTTGCAACAACATGGATGGACCCAGAGAATATCATGCTAAATGAAATAAATCAGATAGAGAAAAACAAATACCATATATCACTCAAATGTAGAACTTAAGAAACAAAAATGAACAACAAAAAAAGAAGCAAACAACAAAACAGACTTAAATAGAGAACAAACTGATGGTTATCAGAGGGGTGGTGTGTGTGGGGGGTCGGTGAAGTAGAGGAAGGAGATTAAGAGTAACTTATGTGATGAGCACTGAGTAATATATAAGATTGTTGAATCCATATTGTACACCTGAAACTAACATAACACTGTATGCTAATTATACTTCAATAAAATGAATAAAGAAATAAATATATCTTTAGTGCCCCCCAAAAGAATATGTATGGTGCCTCAAATCAGAATATCTATAAAATCAAATTTTCTTTAAAAATTAAGAAACATATGTAAATAACAAAGCAAGAGCATGGCATTAAACAAGTGCAGTTTTTTTTTTACTAGACAGTTGGAGGATTTTTAAATTTATTTTAAGTTAATTTTTGCATCAGTTGAATACCTTTTCATGGCACAATTTTCCCGATGGTATTTTCTGTCTTAGGCCTGAGAACGGCATCATAGGAGACAAAATAAATGTATTTATGGACAGATTCCTAAGATTTCCAAATTCATTCTTAAACATTGCCTCCTAACCTTTACTATGGATATCCCTTGCTTGTTCACCACAAAACAAGGTTTCTTGAATTTTATCACTACTTATTTTTTTTAGTCTAGCAGCTTATTTTGCTATATTAGCAAAACCAAAATGAGGTATGAATAGATGCCAGTTTATACACAAAATGCTAGGCTCATTAGTACATCCTTAGAGATTCACATGCCTTATATAGAAAGCACATTTTATAAACATAAACTTTGTTTAACCTTATTTGAAAATGTTTTTATCACTGTGACAAATGTGAGCTAAACAGAGACACTATTGAGGATATGCAATGTATATGAATAAACTTATAGACTTCTTAAAACTGTCTCAGTATTTGTGTGATCTGACAAAACTGTCACAGGAAAATGACACAGGTCTGGGATTACTTCAGTCAATAAGTATTCAACTGGACAGAGGAAGCTGGAGGTTTAGCCCCAGCTCTGCCATTAATTAACTATATGACTCTGGATAAGTCATTTACTCTTTCTGGGACTTAGTTTTCACACATATAAAATGAAGTTTTTGTGTTAGGTAATTTCCTAGCTTTCAAAATCTATAGGAAAAAAAAATCAGATTCAAATGTTTTAAAATCCCAATTGGATTTGATACGACCACCGTTAGAGAAAGCAGCAGCCTACTTCCTTAAAGTCATCATAAAAATCAATGTCACAAAATACAGTCTATTATTATAATCAGATAGTTCAGGGAACATACTCCCAATGAAAACATAAAAGTTATTTAAAATAATAATTTTGAGAATTTAACAGAAGTAAAAATAGATTACTATAGTGGCCTTGATAGTAAGCATATCATTGTTACTATAACTCTTTGAAAAAATTATGGGAGAAAAGTTAGCCAACAAAGAAGTTGCTAAGGTTTGGCTTAAAAACTTTATCACTTTAGCATATTTATTTGAAGGATATTATTAAGGGATTTATACTAGACATTTTTAATTCTGGAGGAACAATCTCTGGCCATCTGTCAAAAGAATCAAATATGTTAGCTGATTCCTATTGGTAAGCTATTCTTTGTTATAATTAAGGCTAAATTTTAGCTGAAAAAATACCACATATTAGGGAATTACTATATTACCTGAACAACTATTTCTGAATCTTTGAGCACAAAAGTCCTAAATGTCTTTAAGCCTTTTTTCCACCTTCAAAACATAATACCTTACTTATATTTGAACTCAGATATCTAATTACTAAAAACAACAACAAGGGATCCCTGGGTGGCGCAGCGGTTTGGCGCCTGCCTTTGGCCCGGGGCGCGATCCTGGAGACCCGGGATCGAGTCCCACGTCGGGCTCCCGGTGCATGGAGCCTGCTTCTCCCTCTGCCTGTGTCTCTGCCTCTCTTTCTCTCTCTCTGTGACTATCATAAATAAATAAAAATTTAAAAAACAACAACAACAACCAAACAACAACAACAACAAAATCCATCAAAGAAATGGACAGGGATAATAAAATACCCATAGAATTCTTGGAGGCCTAATGTTGTCTGCATTCATGTTGTCTGGAAACGTTTTCCTGTTCATAAATGACCAAAACGTCCTAATTCTCCTCATGGTCACATTTAAAAAAAGAATGTCATTAAAAAATTTCTTCTGTCCTTAAAGACAGCTCAACTTAGTATTCACTATACTAAGAGCACTTTCTTCCTTAGTTTTTATGCAATATTTTTGCTTCCAATAGCCACACTAGAATCTTTCAAGATTAAATGACTGTCAAACTGGGAAAAAAGTGGGGAGTAGAACTGCCCTAGTTATTAGTAAGGTAATATTACTCAATTTCTTATATCACATTTTCCACTGAATGATAGAGAAAGTTTATTCTGGGCTCCCAAGGAAGGAGATATTGAAAAGGAACCAGAACCTTTTTTTTTGTATCTGTGAAATTTAAAAGTCCATGTAAGAAGGGTCTCCATAATCACTTGGTCCCTCTCCTCTGCCCTGTCACTCTGAGATAGGAAAACCAGCAGAGGAAAGGTCTTTATAGCTATGACTGCTACAATAATTCAGAAATTATTTGGCAGTTTCATATGCTTTGGTGTTCTGTTTGGTTAAAAAATGGTTAGTAAATAAGAGACCCTAATTTGTGAAAGTTTTTCTCGAAAGAAATTTAGAAAATTCTAAGTCTCAAGACATTTTTGAAACATAAAATGCCAAGCAAACACTTTATACTTCGTGATATACTCTGGATCTATAAAATATCTCCTGCAATTTAAACATCTTTGTTCCCTGAAACCCACAATTTTTAGGATTTGTTTCCATCTCATGAATTCAAGGAGAGGGGGAAATAATGAGCATCTTGATGGACAATTTTATTAAGGATAGGGGTGAGGGTAACAGGAAGAAAAAGAACCACTAGAAGGCAGTGTTTACTGGTGGTGGAGGAGACTCAAAAGCAGAGGCTGATCAACAGAACCAAATATAGCAGAAATTAGGAACAAAAGGTAACATATTGATAAATGGTCAATATGGAGAGCAATACATTTCAGATTTAGGGGGATCCCTGGGTGGCGCAGCAGTTTGGCGCCCGCCTTTGGCCCAGGGCGCGATCCTGGAGACCCGGGATGGAGTCCCACGTCGGGCTCTTGGTGCATGGAGCCTGCTTATGTCTCTGCCTCTCTCTCTCTCTCTCTCTCCTCTCTCTCTCTCTCTCTCTCGTGTGTGTGACTATCATAAAATAAATAAAAATTTAAAAAAATTTTCAGATTTAGGGCAGTAAAGAAAGAGAACTAGGGAACTCAAGCCATTAGTCAGACAGCTAAAGGAAGGGAAAAGACTGCAAGGTACCTAGAAGGAACAGTAGAGGCAATTCTTATTTTGTTTTAAATATTAGAAATAGAGATTTTATGAAAAATTTATGAAAAGAAAACTTGAAAATGACATATAGAACACATTAAGTGAGAGAGTGAGTTTCAGAGATAGTTGGGAGAATGGGCTTCACCTTTCAAGTGGAAAATTTAGAAAGGAAAATCTCTTCCTCAAGACAAGTGTTTCTCAGCCTATGGACCATAGAGAGTCTCCTTACTTGAGAACCATTTGGGAAATCTTGTTTAAAATTCAGATTACTTGGGGGTGCCTGTCTGGCTCAGTTGGAGCAGCATGTAACTCTCAATCTTGGGGCTGTAAGTTCAAGCTCCACGTTGGATGTAGACATTACTTAACAATAAAAAAAAATTCTGAATAAAATAAAATACACATTCCTAGTCACTATCATGGAATTATGAAATCAGAATTTCTGAGGATGGATCCCAGGATCGCGAAATGATTCTTGTGCACTAATATAAAACCCACTGCTCTAGAAATTGGGGGGAAAAGGCTGAGAAATAGATTGAAATACAATGTAATACTAAGATGATGCTTGAAATACATAATGAAAGACATGCTGAAAGTTTCAATACTTGTGGACTAGAAGGTAAAACTGCTTCAAAGCAGGAGGCTAAGGTACTTGGTAAAGTGGAAAAGTTCTCATGACTGAGTGTGGAAAGCAGGCTTAGTCTGGATGGTGGAATACTGGGAGAGCTGACAGTTATATTTAAATATAAACCTAATGTAATTCAAATACAGTTTTTGGATCATGTGCTATTTCAGATCACCTCTGCCACTACTGTCCCCCAGCCCTGTCTAATCCTGACCCCAATATAGATTAGGACTACACATGGCAGTGTCAAATACCAAGGCCACACAGCCATGAGGAATGTCATTACCATACCGGGCACAGAAGGCAAAAGGGACTATCATAGTGAAAGACATGCCAGATTTGGAGATGAAGAAATAGTTTCCAGTCCCAAGGATTGAGTGACATAGGCATACTAAGAGAAAAAAATTAGTATATATATATATATACTCTCTCTCTCTCTCTATATATATATATATAGAGAGAGAGAGAAAGACCCACACCCATGAATTGCTAGAAGACAAGGTGAAAATAATATATACACGTGTGTGTGCATACACACACACAGATATACATAAAGACATAAGGCTTTGCAATTGTCTTTTCTAAAAGGAAGTACAAGCCACAAATCTCTGTACTTTCTTTTTTGTCACCTATAGGAAGTATTTATTCAATAGAAATCAGAAAAACATTACAGCAATCTATTAATTAAATATAGCTGACTTGTCATTCCCTGGTTACTATGTTGGCTTTCTTATTTTATGTCTCTGACTTTAGGGGCATTATGCCAAAAAAAATGTTAAACAATTTTCCTCCCCTGCTACTTCCCCAGCTTTCACTCTTGCTTACTATTATATTTAGGATAATAATCATAAGAGATCTCACCATAATAAGCAGGTTTCTTTGCTTTATCATCTATGCATCAACAAGCAAACTTCCAAACAGCTAGCTTCGATGTCTTTTGACCTCTTCATTTACTTTGACTTCTTCAGAAACTCAGGAAATAAGTCAAATGCAAAGAAATCTCAAATCATAAAAATATGTCAGTGACCAAAGCAATGTGAACTTTTTGCATCTCAAAATTTGACGGTAAGGAATGCTAAAGGGAGTAATAATCTTCGAGATATCTTAGGGTTTTTATCTGGGTGTTTGGGGAGAGGGGAGAATTGGGCATAATTTGCTCAAATATGCATAGTTTTCTAATGGTGAAGACCTCCACTTTGAGACCCTGCATAATGGAAATTCATAAATTGTTCAAAGCTGAGGACTTTATGAGAGTTTCATGAAGTTTTGTTTTCTCCTTATTCCTACATTAAAAACCAACCTCATCTTTCTCCCCTCCACACTCCCACCAAACCCCAGAAAACTAATATACCACTGAACTGCAATGTAAAGATTGCAGCCTTTTCCCTTATCTCCTCAGCTCTCACCAAGTTCTTATGTCCCAGGGCTATGACCGGGTCACTTAGTCTGTGCCATTCCCACCCCCCCTTTTTTGTGGCAATAAAACATTTTCCCCCTTGGTTTGGAATTCCCTGCTCTATCATTTCTATAAGGTCTTTACTATTCCTCTCTTTAGTCAATTTTAGGGGGAAAAAGGGTTATTTCAGTTTGCTTATTTGTGGTTCCACATATTTGCCTTTCTTTGCTTCCTTTCTCTTTTCTCCAACCTACAAAGAGATTATTGGAGGAGGGTAACATTTTATTCATTGGTCTTACACTTTTACTTGAGAGTAAATCAAGTCAAAATAAGGAGATTCTATTCAGAAAGGAAACCACCAATTGAGGCCTCCACATCCCAGAAATCTGACGTAGGCAAGGTGAATAAAAGATTCAGCTTTTAAATATTTTATAAATTTATTTCATAAAGTTGTATCACTAACAATGCCAATATATGTAATTAAACATGTCAATATTGAGGTTCCTTTTTTTAAGGCTGAGAACAATTTGTTAAAATGTTATTCACGTGAATCACTTCTTCCTCCACACCATTCTAGTGTGAAATCATATAGATGAGGTTTGAGGAATGCCCCATTTTTGATAGGGACAGGTGTCTGTCATCATGAAGAATACAATCTTTAGATGCCAAATATGTATAAAATTAAAGCACCGCGACTTTGAATAGTCATATAACCTCAAGGTTAATATTTAGCTTTTCTCAAAGCAAGCAGGCCACTGCCCTGAACTACAGTTGCCTGGTGATCATTCCCTCACTGGTGCATGCTTATTCCCTTTCCGAGAGTCTAGGGGCCCTTTGCATTCAAGAGAGGGTGCAAGTGAAATGCCAATCTAAAAAGGGAACTTAAAGGACAGAGTTGGGTGGGATCCAATATCTGCCAGAAACCAGATGCCAATGAAATAGACGGCACTGCTAAAATAATAAGTCTAATAACGACAGCGATAATAGCTCACCAATTAATTATAATTCTGGAGGAAAGCTGGCCATTCGGAAAAAGGAGAATCTACAAACGAAAACCATGAGAAAAAACTAAATCTGGTCAGTTAGTGAACGCAATATTTTCTTTTTTAAATTGGGGTATGCAGAATTCACTTCTTCCAGGAGCGGCGTCGAATGTTTTCACTCCTGCAGTGCTAAATCCGGGAACAGTGCCCTGGCAGAATAAGGTTTTAGAAAGCGCCATTACAAAGTGAGAGAAGTGAGACTGCAACGCTTTAATTTTTCTAGCCTGTTGTCACTCTGAGGTAAAGGTCACTCCGTGAGTGGGCATCTATCTCCTTTGGCAAAAGAAGCAAACGACAGGGCGGCGGGGTGGCAGGGCAGAGCGCTCTCGGGAAACCACGCGTCGTCGTGCTCTTTGGTCTCTCCTCGAGCCCCCGCCAAGAACAGGTACCAGAGCACCGCTAGACAAAACGGGCCACATTTAGAAATTGCCCCATAGTTTAGGGCCCGCACCACCCCACTGCCACGTCTTCTCTCTACCCCAACTCTGTCCCTTTGCCTTTTCGTGAGTTTGGCACGGCTCGGGCGCCTGGGTGGTGGTGGGGGCGGGGGCGCGCCTTTTCCGCAAACCCAGTCCTGGGGTCCTTTCCCGCACCCGCGGCCCGGTGAAAGTCCTGTCCTAACCCAGCTTGCGGATGTCCGTCTCCTACCCCAGTGCTCAGAATCTGCAGAAGAGAGCACTTCGGAGGCGATGCGTCCTCTACTCACCGGCAAGTGGCCCAGATCCGTGACTTCCTTGTCCCTCCAACCCCCAGGTCCCGCCATGGCTTCGAGCCGATCAAAAGCGGGCGACTGAGTTAGGAACGCTCGGGAAGTCTGAGGTGGAATCGGACAAGAAGTTGAAAAGGGAGAGGAGGAGGGAGAGACGGGGAAAGGAATAGGGGACAGGGGCTTGTGACTTGGGAGATAGAGGAGGGGAAAGTGGAGGGAAAAGAGGAGTGGAGTGAAGTCGGAGTTTGAGAGGCGGGAAAGCAAGTTTGGCTAAGGCGAGAGAGGAGCCTGAGCGTCAGTCCTTGAGACCAAGAAGTTCAGAGGGGTGCTCCACCGGCGACAGCGCAGTGTCCGTCCCGGCAGGGTGCGCCTCTTTCAGGGTGGGGAGGGGGGCGGTACAAGGAGGGGGCCCCCCCCCGGGAGCAGCTCGAAGAGGATTGGTGCAGCGTCACGTCGCCAGGTGGGCAGCCGTGCGGCGGGGAGGCGGGCTGGGGGGGCCACTGGCCGAGGGAGGTGCTGAAGGACTATAACGGTTTTGGAGACTGCCCCTCGCGGCCTCCCCCTCCTGCACGCCCCCTCCCACATCCACCGCTGGGCCCGCCGCCCCCGCCCCCGCTGGCTAGTGTTCCACAGGAAACTTTTTCGAGGCAGCTGCCAGCCCCGGAAAACCGGTCCTGCTCCGCGCCGCTCCCAGTCTGGGCCTCACAGCTCTGCCACAATCCAAACAGCCCGCGCCCTCATCTCTCCCTGAAACACTTGTGACTTTTCTAGTTGTCTTTTTTCTCTTTCGGCTCCTCTGAGTTTATTGCTTCATTTAAAAGGAAATGACTTGACACTGGGTTAGGGATCCGATATAGGTAACCCCTGTGCGGTTGGGGAGAGAGCACCAAGTGCGCCCCAGGGCTACCACAGTCCAGCTTTTGAAGCCACTGGATGAAGGCAGTGCCGCATGGACGCGGCCGCTGCGAAGTCCCCTCGAGGCGGGCCACATCTTTTCTTGCCCCGAGCTAGTTGGTACCAGGCCACGGCTGCTCAGTCAGAACCGCACCTGTTCACAGGTGCTGGGAGTTAAGAGAGACCGATTGAGTCTCTGAAGCCCCAGCTAATCCGGTTCCTAGGTTTGCAGTTTGCTGCATTCAAAGAGCACACAGAAAGTTCCTGCGAATTTCCCAATCTCCAGCACTCCGGCCGGGTTTCATTCATTCGCTCATTCGTTGCAAAATGTTTCTGGGCGCCCAGGCTCTTCGCCTCCGTATTCCCCACAACGCGCAGGGGATCTGACATACGTTTTAAAAGAATCTGACAACGGGATTTAGCCTTAAGAAGCAAGGCGCCTCTTGAAGAGTTTATGGGAAAGGGATTCGGTGCGTAAAACTAACCGCATTCTAAGCTCTTGCACTGCAAAGAGCACTTTAGAAAAATGTCCCGGAGCTGCTTACTTTCCCTGGAGTTTACATACTGCGTTTGCGCACCGGCACTCTGGGGTTGGAACAGTAATGTGGGGGGTTTGTTTCCTGTTTCTTTTTTAATTAAATTTCTACCTACTCTAGGAAGATTTACATGAATAATTCTTCCTACCGACCTGAAACGCACCATTTTGACATACACTTCTAACTTTTGTCATTATTCTTTTATATTGGTGGATTTTGTTTCTTTCGTGTCTTTTTCAAGTTCCGAGTTTGACCTCTTTACATCCCTTAACCTCCGAGCCTCAGTGAGCTCTGTAATGGCCACAGCCTGTCTGAGGAACCGGCTTTCCCTAAATAAATTCTCTGTTAACGGGTGCGGAGAAAACCAGCTACCCCCCAAAAGAAACTCGGATGTTCTGGATCGAATTTTCATGTTAATTCAAATATGATGTGAACCATACAGAAACTGCATTTTCGAAGAATCCAAATCTTGCAACTACACCGTACAAAATCTTGCCCTTCTAAAACACAGTTTAAGAATTCCTGGGTGATTAGAAAAACTATTTTAGTTGTTGCTAAATATGAGCCCCAAAGCAGCAATTTATGGCTACAGATGGGCAGGTGAGCTAGTTAATAGAAAGTTACACTTTTGTATACATATCTACTTTTCAGTAATCAAATACGGAGTTAAGAAATGTGACATTTAAAGGAACTCTGAAGAAAATCCTTGCTAAAGTGAAGAAGTGTTCATAAGTTAAGACTTTTTTCTTTCTTTCTTGACAACGCGGTTTGCTGATGGTAGGGAGTGGGGAAATGCCCCATGGCCCCTGATGGCAGAGATTGTTTTAGCCTGTCTAAAGAGACAAGTCCAGACCAGGCAAAAGAATCCAGGCCACATCATTGGGATCTCTAGTTGCAAGGCTCCTTGGGAGGCTAGCAGCTTCAAGACTCCATAGGGATTAGCCACATCTCAGGGCAGGACCCCCATGTAGGGGGGCACTGAATCTAGGTGTTTGACCAGAACATGACAGAGAACCTATATATTTTTAAGCTATTATTATTTTCAAGGAAAAATGAGGCATGGAAGAGCATGGAAACTTTGCCTTGTAGGCCAGCATTATAGGGATTTTTGTGGCCAGCTTGGGGAAGGTCAGCCTAGTTAACAGACCAGAAAGCAAATAGGTGGCCGCTAAGCAGGAGTCTTAACCTTGAGAGGAACCTTGAAATAGGGCACTTGTTTTCCAACTCCAGGTCTTCGTTTCTCCTGACTCTATAACCATCACTTCCCCTTCCCCTTTCAAAATGTTATTTTTTTTCTCCTTTCTTTCTTGACCTCAAACTGCATAAAAGCAGACATAGTCCATTCAGGGTCTAGGAACTTGTCAGGTTGCGTTTTACCCAGAAATAATTTAGCTAACAACATGATCCATAGGCCCTATATTTATTACAGCTCTTTCTCCTCCAATCCATTCTGTTAATCTTAAGGCCCTGAGAGCTTTGTAACTTTTGATTGTTAGTATTTTTTAATAGCTAAAATGTATTGAATGCTTGCCATTTGTTCTGGACTGTTTTCTATATACTATCTCATTTGATTTTGTTGACTATTCTTCCAGTTTTTTAATTATCTCCATTTCATTGGCAAGGAAATTGAGACACAGAGAGATGAAGTAACTTTTCTAAAGCTTCACAGCTAGAAATTGGAGGAGGCTGGCTTCCAACTTAGGCCCTCTGACTCCAGAGCCCACTTGTCAATGACTGCAAGGCCGGTGCATATTTTGAGGGTCTGTGAAGAGGAGCCAAATTCAAAAAAGCCTCAGGGTAAATGAGATCAGATGACATTAGCTAGACCCTTGAGCTATCCAGTTCCCTTTCCCCCTTTCAGCCTTCAAGCCCTCCTAACATAAATAACAAGGGCTTTTATAAAAATAAATGGAATTCAGATATAGCCCAAGAGTAGCTAGTGACCTGCCTGAGCTGAGATTACCAAGTGGGTCACCTCACAGGGAAAAATCATGGATTTCAAGCTTAGGAAACTTCCAGAGGAAAAAAAGATCCCAGTGATTTTCAATGCTTGGAAAAATATTAAAATCCATACCTATTCCTTCAAGAGGGTTTTTTTGGCTGAGAACAAACTCTATTCAGTGAAGTCTTGAAGGAGGCTGTGTTTGTGAGCAATCGTGCTTAACAGACCTGAGGTGCTAAATGGCAAGGTTATAGCCAGTTAGTTTAGTTGCTAGGTGTACTATAGACCTGGTGCCAAGGGTATGTTGCTTGATCCCCCAGAGGATCAGTGTGCATCTCTCCATTCTTTAGCCCTTGATAACACCTCCTCTCTGACCAACCAGTGATGCATTTTGGGAAAAACAACTCCAAAATCAATACTTCATCTTTGTATACAAATAAGTGCATATTCATTTTTTTCATGTAAATCACTAGTCACCATGATCTGCAGAAAGTATATTTCAAGAACATGTGTGTATTATAAATTATATAGATTGAAAGGATTCTAAGTTGTATCCTTTTTTATTTATGCATTGATAATCAACAATACAAATGTTAATAGACACTTTTTAAAAATGAATCTCATAGAATGCTTTATTAACCATTTATTAGACATTTAAACATACAGAAAGGTCTGTCATTTATTGTTTTTTCTCTACTCAGACACCTCATGTATGAAAATGAATATCTTGCCAATTTTTGTTAAGACAAGGTTGCTATCTATAATTATTGGTCTTGGATGGGACTAGTGAAATAAGGTTATACAGCAATCTTCTTGAGAAAATACTTTCAAATACTTGTAATTGCAAGCACTGAAGATCCAACATCTCCAGTATACTTGTAAAAGGCTAGGGCATCATATCTGAAAGAGTCCTAGGAAGTGCATGTTGAGGGAGGAAACTTCTTTGGGAATCACTGGGTTAATGGACCTTCTTACAGTTTTCTTTCTTTTTTATGGAGACACCTCTGCAACTGTAGGACTTCTGCCACAATCCCCAACACTCTTGTGAACACTCCTTTTGATTTTTCCTATGTGCCACTCCTCTGGGGACAAAGCAACAGGCCACCTGATGTTTCTCAGGCTAAAAGTCATGAAATATGCCTTCTGACCATAGTTTGCAAAGCTTCTGTCACTTGTTATGGAATGCTCTTAAGCTCGGCATGATTTTAGCTATGCTTGTTTCTAAAATGAGGCCCGGAAATCTGATCCTAACTTAACATGGGTCTTGTTGCTATTGAAAACTGGAATGCTACTCTAAAAAAAGACAATTGTTTTATAAAGAGAACTTAAACAAGGAAATTAAGCCCAAAACTCAGATAAATTTCTGAAGTTGGTCATGGGGCTTCCTTTTGTTTTTGTCTTCCCTCTTGGAGTCCATGTCATTCTCGTCCTAGAATTCCCAACCTAGAAACTTCAGTCTAGCCATTCTCACTCATTCAGAACAAACTCACACAAGAGCACATTTACTTTGATACTAATGAAATTTATGCTTCAGGACACCTCACTTGCACTTCCAAGGGCATAGAAATGGCTCTAATAATCCTGTATTGATGACTTTATATTCCTTTTTGAAGTGGGTTCCTCAAATTATAAAAGCTTCAGATCCAACAAAACTTGTTTCTGGTCCCAAATGCATGATGTATAATGAACATAGTTGAAGTTGTGTGTGTGTGTGTGTGTGTGTGTGTAATGTCCATATCACAGAGACTTGACAAAGAATTGCAACTAGCAATTCACAACTAGAAAGCGTATATTTTGAAAAGAGAGAAAACTCAAAGAAGGAAAAGAGGAATAACACTGAACCTTAAGAAATTATCCTTATACGCCGGAAGTAATGCATCACATAAGCAGATTTGGTATCCCTTTGATAGAGAATAAAAAGGAAAGAGGAAACAAAGAATATCTTTAT